GTTATAAATTATATCTTTTACTGTGCGCTTCATTATCTTCAATATGCGATTGCGTAATTGTGTACGCCCACTTTTTCAACCCAAGAGCCGCCCCTGCTCTTTTTGCTTTGTTGTTTTTTTATTATCTTGAGCTTCTTTTGGCATGTTGTTATCTTATAGCATCCGATCCATTTTATGTCGTGTGGTCGTTAGGATTTTAAAAATAATAATTTTTGTACTGTTCTTCTGATCGATTTCTGGGGAGCTCGGTTGCTCCATCTTGGTTTCCTTTCTCCGACCAAAGAGTAATGGTTCTTCAATAATGATAAGTTATAGGTTGTTGTTGTTGTTGTTGTTGTTGTTGTTGTTGTTGTTGTTGTTGTTGTATGATCGATAATGTATTATTGGTAGAATTGTTGTTATAGTGGTTCTGTTATTATCATATCATTATTTCTCTGGGTACATTAAACAGCTCTCTTTGAGCCAAATACAAAAATGTCCTCAAAATTCGGTGGCGCCCTCTTCGCAAATGCGCACCCTTTGGGAACAGAGTTACCTTACTTGAGTTTAAAAAATCAAAGTGAAACTAGCGAGTTTTTGATTGGATAAATTTCGGAAGAACGTATTTTTTAAAAGGGTTACGCTGACAAAAAAACCTGTTCCGGAGGAAAGTGTGATTGTTTTCTTCGTTTAATTTGACTTTAGAATGAAAGGCGAGAGGTCATTACAATTTTTAAAAACTAAAACTCTGCACTGAACGAACCGGAACTGCTGATGAACAGCAGTCGATCTGCGCACGCAAGGGGGTGCTATTCCTATTCTTCTTCTGGAAAAACGAAAGAGAGCTTCAAAACAGACTGCAGCGCCATCTGAAGCAAAGAGCGGACTTCCGGCGGACACTTTTTTGGCTGAGTGGCCCATCTTGTTATGGACTATCTTTGGTAATACCAAAAAACGTTATATGCCCAAAAGTTGACGAACACCTGATTCCACCACGTCGTGACACTTATGTGAGGCAGCGTGGTGGAATCAGGCTCTCGTCAAAATAATCAAAGTGAAGAAACTTGCATTTTTCCGCAGGTTTGGGAATTATTTTCATTTTTTTTTTGCCTCAACACCTTTCATGCCCATTAAAGAACTCATTTATGTGTGGATTTTTCTGAAAAACGTTGATTAAAGGCACACAAAAATGTAAATTTTCAGTTACCACAGACTCTTAAGCTAAGGAAATAACTAATCTTTGGCGGCCATTTTCTCCCATATTTTACCTCTGAAAACAGGTGACCCCCACCTACTTCTTTCGCAAATATCTCGACTTGTATTCAAGATAAACGGCTATTTTTTTTTCATCCAAATAAAGACAAGTGAACAAGCTTTAAGATGATACCGATAACTCTACATGCCCAAAAGTTGACGAGAGCCTGATTCCACCACGTTCTTGGCTCCCGTGAAACAGAAGTTGCGGATTGCACGCTCTCGAACACTGACAAACTGAAAAGATCTTGTACGTTTTCTATAGCCCACTTTCATTCATTGACGAGAGGATAATTAGTGTAAAGTACCTTTCCAAAAATCGAAACATCAGGTCCCTGACAGGATTCGAATCCTCGATCTAACGTGTGCGAGTCCGAGAGCCTAACCACTAGACCTTCGATCAAACATCGAATGAACAAACTCGTACATGGTGTAGTTTTCTTTGCACTTATCCTTGCTGCCTCTTAC